TCTATTCTATTCTATTCTATTCTATTCCATTCCATTCCATTCCATTCTTTTCTGCAAGAAGCACGGGGCGCCCTCTGCCGGCCGAGCCCGGGACCCCAAGGTGGGCTGGGCTTTTCCCTTGCAAGCTCCACCCCCTGGCGGAGGTTGAGGGAGGGGCGGACCTTGGACGGGGAAAAAGAAGGGTGGGGGGGCTCAACAGCAGCAGCAGGAACCGCCACCTCGGTCAAGGGAAGCGGCGTTGACTCGGGAGCCCCTCGGACGAGGACTTGGTGAGCGGCCGGGGCTCCTTGCTGGCTGTCGGGGGTGGGTGGGTGGGGAGCTGTGGAGGAAAGAGGGAGGGGAAGGGGACAGGAAGGGGGGGGCGCTCCTTTGCTGGGAAGTAGGGCTCGGGATCCTTTGGGGGGGGAGGTGGATGTCCAGGCAAACTTTTATAGATTTAACAGAGTTGGAAGGGACTTTAGAGGTCATCTAGTCCAAACCCTCCCCCCCTCGCCCAAGCAGGAGACCCTACACCATTTCGGACCAATGGCAGTCCAGTCTCTTGCAAGAACAAAGGGGAGTGGGGGGGGAGGTAAAGGGCAAGGGGGGAGGGGGACAAACTTGCGAGAGGAAGGGGAGGGGGGATAAACGGGGGAGAGGGGGCAAGTTTGCCAAAGGGGAAAGCGGGGTGGGGGGGGAAGGGGAGGGGGCGAGAAGACCAACCCACCGCAGGGCTCCCAAGTTGGTCGGACACCAAGCGTGGCGGGGCGCGGAGATCATGGAGGGCGAAGTGGTGGTGATGGAGGGGGGGGGGGTGAAATTCCTCGGGGGGGGGGGAAATAGAATACAATGGAAGGGAAGGGAAGGAAATGAGAGCTGGAAGGTACCTTGGAGGTCTTCTACTCCAGCCCCCTGCTACAATAAACGGAACGCATAATTAATGTTGCGTGTAATAAACAACCAGCTAGAATCACATATGCACAAAATGGGAGAAACGAAAGTAGCCCTAACAGAGGAGAAGGTAAAGAAAGAAAGAAAGAAAGAAAGAAAGAAAGAAAGAAAGATAGATAGATAGATAGATAGATAGATAGATAGATAGATAGATAGATGTAGATGTAGCTGTAGCTGTAGCTGTAGATGTAGATGTAGATGTAGATGTAGATGTAGATGTAGATGTAGATATATTAGAATGTGCCGAATTGGACAGGTTAACCATGGAACTTAAAGAGGAAACTGAATACTGCTTAACTTTGGATGGGTTGTACAAATGGTTAAATAACAGGGATTAGCAACTTAATAACAAAAGAAGATTAACAAAATAGAAAGAAATACAGGTATATAGATATACAGAAGAATATATACTGTAAACAGTTTCGCTATCGGACTGTAGGTGAATATAGAGTAAAACGTCTAGAGTGATAAGTTGTAACGAGTGTGAAAAAAACAAGAGTTATAATTCTGATATGAAATATGAAAACAATAGTTATAATTATGACGTACAGTACTATGTATTTAAAAGAGACTGTACTGTATGACTGTGAGAAAAATGGTTATAACCAGGGTGCATAATACGATGTATATTTTAAAAAGACTCGATATAGCCAAATTGGAAATGTGATGTATAATAAAGGAAAATGTACGAGAGAGAGAGAGAGAGAGAGAGAGAGAGAGAGAGAGAGAGAGAGAGAGAGAGAGAGGAAGAAGAAGAAGAAGAAGAAGAAGAAGAAGAAGAAGAAGAAAAAGAAGAAGAAGAAGAGGAGGAGGAGGAGGAGGAGGAGGAGGAGGAGGAGGAGGAGGAGGAGGAGGAAGGAAGGAAGGAAGGAAGGAAGGAAATTTCTCGGGGGGCTTTTGGGAGCTTCCCCCAGCCCTTGGCACAGAGGGGCTCTGTACACCCACTGGTTTTGTCCCCCACCACCCAAGTTCCCTTTTTGGGGGATGGGACCGGGCTAGCCAGGCTTCCTCTCCGCCGCCCCTCCAGGAAGAGAGGGGAAAAGGTGGGTTGGGGGGCAGTCTTGAGGTGGAGACCCCAACTGGCCTTGGGGGCCCCACCCAGATGCTTTGCAAGAGAGAGCACCGCCTAGAAATAAGGGGGTTGTGTGTGTGTGTGTGCTCCAAGGTTTATTCCTTTGCAGATGTCTAGCACAGGGGTCTCCAGCCTTGGCCACTTTAAGACTTGTGGACTTGAGCTCCCAGAATTCCCCAGCCAGCTTTGCCCAGAGTTCCTTAGCCAGCTTTGTATTGAGCTTTGCTGGCTGGGAATTCTGGGAGTTCAAGTCCACAAGTCTTAAAGTGGCCAAGATTGGAGAGCCCTGTGCTAGCAAGTCTCTTGGGCAGCCCTGAGGTCTGGCCACAACAACAGCCCTGCAAGGTAGGTGTGTGTGTGTGTGTGTGTGTGTGTGTAAAATATACATTAAGGTAGATTTGAAGCTGCTCTTCCCAGGACAGCAGGTGCCTTTCCTGCTATCCCAGACCGGCTAATAATAATTATCCATCATTACAGGTAGTCCTCCACTTATATTCCTTTAGTGACTATTCAAAGTTACAACGCAGCTGAAAAAAAAGTGACCCGTGACCTTCCCCCACACACACACACATTTAACGCCTGTGCCAGCAATCCCCATGGTTTCAAGTCCAAGCCATGTTTATTTACAGAGACCAAGTTAAAAAAACATTCCGGGGAATATCCAGTTGAACATTCTAGAATAAAATAAGAAGCAACAAATGGGATCTATATGAACATCACACTTTGAATTATAAAATTAGAAGAACAAGAGTTGGAAGGGACCCAGAGGTCTTCTAGTCCAACCCCCTACACCACTTTAGACAAATGGTTATCCAACAGTCTTTTTCAAAAACTTCCAGTGTTGGAGCATTCACAACTTTTGGCATCCAGTCTGGAAATTTGGCATGCTGAGCAACCAGTTCACCTTTATGATGGCTGCAGAATCCCAGGGGTCACTTAACCATGTTACTAGTTGAACAATTGCCGTGATTCACTTTCTTGATGGTGGCAAGAAAGGTTGTAAAACTCACTTAGCAACAGAAATGTTGGGCTCACTTATCACAAATCAAGGACTGCCTATATTATCCTCATATGTAATCCTTATTATTATTAATAATAATCATATTAATTTTTTAGGCAGCAGTTACCATTATTTTAGGCAGCAGGTGCAAATCTCTAGACAAAGGACTTGATTCCCCCAAATGTTGGAAGTCCAATAAAGAAATTTCTGATTTTTTTGCCAGTATGTAAGACAGAGCATTTAGTTTTGAGATTTGAAGTTGCCATTTGTTTGACCATTCTGATACACAGTCAAGGTCTTTTTGAAGGGTAGCAGTATTGTCTGTGGTGTTGAATAGCTTTACATCATCAGGGAAGAGAACGCAGTTGCTCTTAATGTGATCACAGAGGTCATTTATGCAGAGTATGAAGAGAGTTGGTCCTAGAACACTGCCTTGGGGGACACCACTGTGGACAGGTACAGAATTTGATAGGATGCTCCCAATTTTGACCATTTGTTGTCTGTTTGACAGGAATGTTTCTATCCAGTTATGCAGGTGTCAAGAGATACCATATTTTAGCTTTAGTAGTAGTTTGTTGTGTACCACTAAATCAAAGGCTTTACAGAAGTCTATGTAGATTGCATCTATTGCTTTTCCCTGATCGAGTTGTGTAGTCCATATGTTTTTGCAGTGTAAGAGTTGCAGATTACAGGATAGTTTTTTTCTGAAACCAAATTGTTTATTAGAGAGTTGTTTGTTTGTCTCTAAGTGGGGGATAATGGATTGGTTAATAATTGATTCCAGGTGACGCAGCAAAAGAGATTGGTCTGTAATTTTCAACTAGGCTGGGGTCCCCCTTTTTGAAGATGGGGATGACCGTGGCTTGTGACCATAGGTTAGGCAAGGAGCTGGTCCTGAAAGATTTTTCAAAGATTATGCTTAGAGGTTCGGCTATGGCAGTGGATAGCTTTTTTAAGAAGTAGGCATATATTCCGTCCGGTCCAATAGATAGAGATGGTTTTAGATTGCGTAGTGCTTTTTCAACATTGTCTTCTATAAAATCGATATGTATTAGATCATTGTAGTTTCCTGTGGTTTGGCTAGGAAATCCTGGGCATGATCCACTGCTGTTTAATATTGAGCCAAAGAATGTGTTAAAAATGTTGGCTTTAATGGTGTCGTTGTTGCAGTCTTTACCATTAGGTCCTATCAGGGGTGGGATGGACCTTGAATCTTTTAGTTTGTTTTTTACAAAATTGTAAAAAGCGCGGGTGGAATTGGTGCGTAGAAGGTTTTCTTCTTGTTTAATGTGATAATTGGTGCATTCAGTCTTTATCTGGTGGCATAAATTTTTGTATCGGCTTTTGAAGGTGGCAACTTGACCAGATTTGTTTTTCCGCCAGAGTGATCTCTTTTTGGATTGAAGTTTCCTTATTGTTATGGGTAATCTGTTTTTTTTTTGTTTGTTTTTTTGGGAGTTGTTGTTGGTACATATAGTTTGATTACTCTTTTGACTTCAAGTAAAAATATGTTGTAAAGATCTTCAACAGTGAATAGAGATCACCAATCAAGGGATAAGAGATCATTGTCTATAAGATCATAGTTGCCTTTTTTGAAGTTATATTTGGGGATTACGTCATTGTGATGATTTTTGTGTGGGAGTATGTTGAGACAAAAGTCAATCATATTGTGGTCACTGTTGGAAAAGGGTTCTTTAGTTTGTATTCCATAAATTAAATTCAAACTATTGCAGAAGATGAGATCGAGGCAGTTGTTAAGTCTAGCATTGTTGGTTACTAGTTGTTCCAGTCCCAGATTTGTTACTGCATTGTAGAAGGTTGCATGTGTGGGTTCAGTTGTACATTTGTTTAGGGTCCAGTTAATATGAGGTAGATGGAAGTCACCAAGAAAAATAAAAGCGTGTGGGCAGGATGTTGCCCATGTTAGTAGTGAATTTAGCTTGTTTACATGTTCGATGTCCTTATCAGGTGCTCTGCAACATAGTTAGAATCGAAATGTGATATTTAAGGATAGTTCACAGATGATGGTCTCAGGAAGAGCAAGCTCCTGGGTAACTTGGATGTTTTTTAGATGTAAGGACTTTTTATAGAAGATAGCAACACCACCTCCTCTACGGATTTCACGATCTGATCGGTAAACATGACAGTCTCTTACTGTGGTAATGGAATCAGGGAGAGATGCGTTGAGCCATGTTTCACAGACAAATATGATGTCGAATTTAGCCATATTTAGTAAGAGGAGAAATTCAGGTATTTTATTCACAAGG